CAAAGACAGAAACAATAAAAGAGCAGAAATGAATGAAATAAAGACTAAAATGCAATAGAAAAGATTAGTGAAAGAGCTGGTAAAAAGGTAAACAATGTTGATAAACCTTTCACTAGACTCATCAAGGGGAAAAAGAGAGAGAGAGAAACAGAGAAACAGAGAGGATCCAAACAAATAAATCAGAAATGAAAGACCAGAAATTACAACTAGTACTAGAGAAATACAAAGGATCAAAAGAGACTGCTATGAACAATTATACACCATCAAATTGGACAACCTGAAAAGACAGATAAATTCCTGAAACATACAACCTTCCTAAATCATGAACAAAGAGAAAATGTGAATGGACCAATTACTAGAAAGGAGATTGAATTAATAATCAAAAACGTCCCAAAAAACAGAAGTCCAGGACCAGATGGTTTCACTGGTAAATTCTACCAAAACTTCAAAAATTTAATACACATCTTTCTCAAACTCTTCCAAAAAAAACTGAAGAGGAATGAATACTTAGAAATTCATTTTACAAGGTCGGCATTACCCTAATACCAAAGCCAGACAAGACCACAAAAAAGAAAATTATAGGCCAACACCCCTGATGTGCATAAATGCAAAATCTAATCTTCAACAGGTATTTGCAAACCCAATTCAATATTAAAAGGACCTTGCATAATGATTAAGTGGGATTAATTTCTGGGATGAAAGGATGATTCAACATCTGCAAATCAATAAATGTGATACTCCACATTAATAAAATAAGGGATAAAAATCACATAATCATCTCAATAGATGCAGAAAAGGCATCTGACAAAGTTCAACATCCATTTAAAATAAAAATGCTCTACAAAATGGGTATAGAGAAAATATACTTCAACATACTAAAGCTCATATATGACAAGCCCACAGCTAACATCATACTCATTGGTGAAAAGCTGTTACTCCATTATCAGGAAAATGCCGAGGATTCCCACTCTTAGCACTTTTATTCAACATAGCACTGGATGTACTTACCAGAGCAATTTGGAAAGAAGCAGAAGGAGGAGGAGAAGGATGGCAGGGAGAGAAGGAGGAAGAGGAAGAGGAGGAAGAAATGAAAGGCATTCAAATTGGACAGAAAGAAGTAAAACTGTCACTATTTGTAAATGATAAAATTTTATATACAAAAACCCCCAAGACTCTATCAAAAAAGAGTCTGTTAAAACTAATAAAAAAAACTGTTAGAACTAATAAGCTAGCTAATTCAGTAAAGTTGAATGATACAGAATCAATACACAAATATCTGCTGTGTTTTTATACACTAAACACAAACTATCGGGAAGAGAAATTAAGAAAGCAATCCCATTTACAACTATATCAAAAAGAATAAAATACTTAGGAATAAATTTAATAAATTTAATTTACAGAGGTGAAAGACCTATATATTAAAAACTATGATAATGATACAAAAATTGAAGACACAAATAAATAGAAAGATATTGAATGCTCATGGATGAGAAGAGTAAGTATTGTTAACATGCCCATATTACTCAAAGTAATCTACAGATTTAATGCAATTTCTATTCAAAATTGCAAAGGCTTTTTTCACAGAAATAGAACAAACAATCCCAAAACTTGTATGGAACCACAAAAGATCCCAAATAGACAAAGCAATATCTGGAAAGAAGAAATAAGCTGGAGGCACCATGGTCCCTGATTTCAAAGTATATCACAAAGTTTCAGTAACCAAACAGTATGCTATTGGCATAAAAATAGACCCATAGATCAATGGGACAGAATAGAGAGTCCCCAAATAAACCCATGCATATATGATCAATTAATTTATGAAAAAGAAGGCAAGAATGTACAATGGGGAAAAGACAGTCTCTTAATAAATGGTGTTAGAAAAACTGGACAGACATAAGCAACAGAATAAAATTAGACCACTATCTTACACCATACCCAAAAATTAACTCAAAATGGTTTAAAGACTTGAATGTTAAGACTTGAAACCATAAAACTCCCAGAAGAAAACAGACACACTCCGCTCCTGACATCTATCTTGGTGATGACTTTTTGGATCTGATTCCAAAGTTAAAAACAAGAAAAGCAAAAATAAACAAGTGGGGCTGCATCAAACTAAAAACTCCCTGCACTGCAAAGAAAACCAGAATCAAAATGAAAGGGCCACCTACCAAAAGGAAGGAGATATTTGAAAATCACATATATTATAGGGGTTAATATCCAAAATATGCAAAAAATTGATACAACTCAGTAACAATAATAACAATCCAATTAAAAAATGGGAAGATCTGTACATTTTTCCAAAGACGATATACAGGTGGCCAATGGGCACATGAAAATATGCTCATTATCACTAAAAAGTCAAGCAATGGAAATCAAAATCTCAATGACATATCACCTCACAACTGTCAGAATGGCTAATATCAAAAAGACAAGAAATTAGTGTTGATAAAAATATAGGGAAAAGACTTTCATATACTGCTGGTGGGAATGTAAACTGGTGCAGCCATTATGGAAAACAGTGTGTAGGTTCCTCAAAATATTAAGGATAGGACTACCATAAGATACAAAAATTCCTCTGCTGGGTATTTATCCCAAAAGACAGAAACACACATTTAAGTCACATATGCACCATTATGTTCACTGCAACATTATTTACAGTAGTCAAGATATGGAAATATCCTAAGTTTCCATAGAAGGATAAATGAATAAAGTAGTATATATACACAATGGAATACTCAGCCATAAATATGGATGAAATCTTGCCATTTGCAACAATATGGATGGACCTTGATGGTATTACACTAAGTAAAATAAGTTAGACAGAAAAAGACAAAGACTATATGATTTCACCTACAGATGAAATCTAAAAAACAATAAAATGAATAAACAAAACGGATACAGAGAACAGACTGGTGGTCTCAAGAGGGGAGAACGTTTGGGGGCTGGGAGAATTGGGTGAATGAGGTCAAGAGGTACAAATTTCCAGTTATAAAATAAGTAAGTCATGGAGATATAATGTACAGTATGACTACTACAGTCAAAAATACTGTGTTGCATATTTGATAGGTGCAGAAAGAGTAAATCTTAAAAGGTCTCACCACGAGAAAAAAAATTTTGTTATTCTGTATGCTGATAGATGTTAACTAGAATTTATTGTGGTGATCATTTCACATTGTATGCAAATATCAAATCACTATGTTGTACCCTGAAATGAGTATTATCTTATACATCAATTATACCTCAACTTAAAAGAAAGGGATGTGGTGTTTAGAAATTCTTGTAATAAATTGTGTGTGTAATAAAATGTGTGTGTGTAATAAAATGTGTCAACCTCATACACACACAAAATAAAAACACAGTAAGCATTGCATTTTGTGTAATTTTTATAGTAATCCATTTGAAATCTCCATTTTAAAATGCTGAATTGTTCTATATTTTAAGGCTTAATTACTCAAGTACTTAATTTACTAAGTGATTCTTAAAAGAAGAAATACATTGGCCACAAATATTTTAAACAATGTTCAGTGAAGATTTTCATTCTTTTTTTGAAGTGATGGTTCTGTACTAAAACAGCTGTCAGCTTAATTATCCCAGATCTCATATAAAATTTATGTTCTTATAGTTGAAAGTGAAGAATTCTTAAAAATTTGAAACAGTGTTTATGTTTTTCCTGAATAGGCATCGCATTTATCCATTTTATCACAACATGATATATAAAACAAAGTAAGAAATGCATTATTATAATGGTATAAACAGCATCTAAAGTGTTCAAAATTCTTTCAAAGAATATGCTTATTGTATATCTTAAATGTGTCTATGTACAAACATACAAATATGGATAAAACTACCCATAAAATGATATAGGTCTTTGGAATGCACAAATGTAATATTCAATGTTTTAGTCATTTACTAGAGGCCAGAGATGTCCACAATATGTAGTTATTTGTGGTTGGTTTTGGGATTTTTGGGGTTTTTTTTTTTGAGAGAGACATTTCAAAAGCATACTAAGGTATACAAGCCCAGTTACTTAGCTATCAAATAAACCTGACGATCCAGTCCCAGCAATTCAACAAGATTTGTTTACTCTGTTTTGGTCTCATTTATAGTAATTTAGAAAGGAAAAAAATCAGATTTATTTAATATGATGTTAACATCACTATGCTACTAATGTAATATAACCATTATAGGTGGCAGCCATTATTTGCATTAACTGTGATTTTATTCTATATGGAGAAAGTCATTACATGTCTAAAAGAACAACTTCTATTTCCATGGAAGTGGGGTCTGCAGCATATCTGTAAACTTGGAAATTTTCTAAAGTCTCGGGATATATCTTTTCTAAGTGCCAAGAGTCTGCCTTGTAAGAACTACATTACTAGGATGACAATACTTCCGCTAAATATTCTGACTTTTATTACACCCATTTAAAACATGTTCAACTATCTAGGCATAGCTTACAGTTAATCATAAACAAGCTGAATTTTTCAACATCATCTTGCATGCAGTATTACTATTTCCCAGTGACTATTTCTTCCATGGCTGATAGCTGAGCATTCTAATTATAAATAGTACCATAAATTGCTGGAATCCATAATAAATAATGTTTAAAGGGTCAAAGAATCATACAGGCAATTGGCCATTTTTACACTGGAAGCAAAGCATACAGTTTTTCAATACAAAGTTTAAGAGCTTTCTAGGCAGGCAAGCATATAACCTATCAAATAGCATGTTTATTTTGTATTTGGGAAGATAAAGCAAAGCAAAACAAAAAACATCTCATGAAGAGAAACCTGTTAGGCTTGCATATTCTGTGGTGTCTTTGCAAGCGTACTATTTTGCTTTGCCAGGGAAGAAAATAGCTCGTATTTCTTATCATATGATGCACAGTACATCCCCACTATGGCATAGGTATTCAGAACCATAGAGATCCAGAAGTTCTGAGATATTGTGAGATATAGAGACTAGCAATATATAAGATTACAGGACACATGTAAACTCACCCTTCTAATCTCACATCCGGTAGACTTCTGTTAAGGGCGATCAAGTCACTGGCCATAAGGTTAAACTGATTGATTTTAAACAGTTCTTTCATTTTCTCCTGGTCATCTTTAGGAATCAGCACAGCCTTTCCCATTTCTCCTGGCCCTTCTTGATTTCTTGAAATAACAGCTGTAAGACACACACAAGTACACACACACATACAAACACACAGATAATGAACTGAATAAATAAACTCATATGTTAGATTAGATTTTGAAGTCTATTTTCTAGAGACTGGCTTAATATAATCATCAAGTCTTTATTGCTTACTTACAAACCATACACTATGCTAATGAAACAACTTATTTTAATTCATTATCTCAATGCTGCATGTTGCCTTTTAAGTCTAAACATATTGTATGATTTGACTAATCATCTAGACTTGATAATTAAGCAATACCAAGCACCAAAACTTAAAACTTCTCTGTCATATTTTTTTTAAGACTTTTTATTTATTATTTGACAGACAGAGATCACAGCAGGCAGAAAGGCAGGCAGGGGGCAGTGGTGGGGAAGCAGACTCCCTGCTAAACTCAATCTCAGGACTCTGGGATCATGACCTGAGCTGAAGGCAGAGGCTTTAAACCACTAAGCCACCCAGGCGTCCCTGTCATATTTTTTTTTTTAAGTTTATTTTAAAGATTTTATTTATTTATTTGTCAGAGAGAGAGAGGGAGAGAGAGCGAGCACAGGCAGACAGAATGGCAGGCAGAGGCAGAGGGAGAAGCAGGCTCCCTGATGAGCAAGGAGCCCGATGTGGGACTCGATCCCAGGACGCTGGGATCATGACCTGAGCTGAAGGCAGCTGCTTAACCAACTGAT